AAAGTTCATACCCAATGCATGGATGAGTTTGACATGGATCATTTTTTTTCACATTGACTTCCAAAACGATTTTGTGGACATTTACATACAAATCTCGTTCCATTTCTAATACATGTTCCACCCATATAACATGGTTGAGATGCACATGGTGATATTTCTTCACAAACATCGCCATAAAAACGTGATTCATCACATCGACATAATGCAGTTGAATTATCTTGTTGAATAACACAACGACCACCATGTTGACATGGGCAAACTAATTCACATTGTTCTCCATATTGATTTGGTGGACATTTACATGTTAATGTTGTTATTTTTGATGAATCACAAATAGCTTGTGGTGATGAACATGTATCCGAACGACATTGACAAGCATATGAACCATTTCCGGGAAATGCAATACAACCACCATGAGGACAAACATCCGATGAATGACATGGATCAACTAGTTTTTAAAAATAATAGAAATCGAATTAACATTTTCAAGTATATAACAATCTTTAATATTACTTACTATATTCACAATTAATTCCAATACGACCTCGTGAACATTGACATTGATAAGAACTATTATTCATAGATGTCAATGTATTTTCAATACATGTTCCACTATATTCACATGGATTACTTCGACAGGCTGATGGTAACATGGGTAAACTAGTACGAGTAGCAGCTACTAAATTATACGAAATATTTTTTTCAATTTGTGCTTCTTTGAAAATACTCACTAAAATTCATCTGTTTAGTGCTATTAATAGCATATACTGAACTACAAAGATGACCACCACATGTTTCATTCAATTGTCCTGAACACGTCCATGAACAACAGTTCGATATATTATGATTTTCTTGTTCTCTTCGAGTTTTCGTTGCCAGATGATTACCACAATAACATTCCGATCTACACATTTACATACATACATATATATATAGAAATAATGCATTGATATTTTTTTTTCTAGTCTCATTCAAGGATAAAAAGCTTTACACTTCGATTTCGTACCTAAATTGTAATCCAGCAAAGCTAAAATCATGTTCAGCACAATAATTCGTACATAGTACAATTGTCATAGATGATGAAGTCAAAGGTTTAATAAGACCATTCAATATACGTTGATGACGACTATCTTTAAAACATCCTGCATAATTCACAATCGAATGTTTTGAATAGACACTAAATATTCCTATGAAAAAAAACAAAATTATATAACTATCGATTGAAAATCAAAAGCAATATTAAAAGTAAATAAATTTAGTATGATTTTTAAATAGATTGATCGTGGTCAAAAGAGTTAACCACATGCACACACACATGTTCGGGTGTTAGCACCATATACATATACACATAAATTACATCATATATCTTTGTCCCTTATTCTATAATTCATGAGTAAAGTTCATAGAAGTTACACTGGTCTCTTTGTGCAAGTGTCGGATTCTCTTTTCTTCTCAATTCTTCGTTTTTTTTTTTTTGTATTTTTTATATACGGATCATGACAACGAAGAAACATGTACAATCGTATGTATGTGATTCAGTAAACGTCATCCTCTTTCTTCTTGGTCCCTGCTCATGCAAAGGTTATCCGCACCGACCAAGATAACGTGCGTGTTAAGCAAGTACAAACAAAGCATGTACAACAAAAAAGAAAAAAGAAGAAGACGAGATTTTAATACGTCGGGACCACGCCTACACATGTATAAGGTTTCCGAAATATATTTATAATTATATTTTTTGTTTAATATTCATTATCAACTTAATCAATCAATAAGCCGAAGAAAGTAAATAAAAATATTGAAATATAGATTGTCACATTTCCGGAATTCATTTATTTGTATGTTTATTACCATTAAAAAGTTGTAAAGAAGATATGAAAGGATTAGGAACAAATAGATTTCTTTGATTTTCTCCTCAATTTCTTTAATGATCAACTAAGATCAAACCATGTTTTGTCAATAAAATAATATTACTGATGAGTTCATAGAAAATACAGAGTAATGAATTTCAAAAATCTTACCTTCAAAAAGAATAAGAACAAGTAATACAACTTTCATCTTGTTGCTTGGAAGATCGAAAAAAAAAGAAGTTTTTTGTTCAGGATCCGATTAATAATAATAAGAAAGATGAATTTCGTTTTATACTGAAACGATAGATCTACTTATGATTCTTATAGAATAAAGGAAGGACGTATTGTGACAGTAGTCATCTTCTTTTATGTTTTTTTACTTTTATCATATATTCTTTTTTCGCTCTCTCTCCCTCTCTTTCTCTTCCGCTTTGTCTCTCATGACGATGATCGAATATATAGATTATTAGTGTTCCTCCCGCCTTCGTCCACTAAGCCAAGTGACAACGCGACCAACTCTCTCTCTTTCTCTCTCTCCCTCTCCATCAGTGACTATGATGAAAGGTGAACGAAATATATACGTGCTTTGTCAATAATAATCCCTTACTCTGATTAACGAAAAAATCATTATGAATATTTATCATAGAGACAAACTCAAATGACTAAGTATCTTTGTAATTTATGACATAAGATTTGATATTTCAATGAATAATTTACAGAAGGAATTAAAATTTTTGTAGAGATGATTATATTTATAATTGATTTCGGTTCTGTAAGTTTAAAATAATTATCATCTTGAATGTTATTCATTCAAACAACTGGTCATGAACTTTTATTTTAAAATAGAATAAAATTACAAAAATGATGTGAAATATTCATTGAATTAATTATATGTAATACTTGATCCATGCAAATACTACCAAATATATCTTCTGGATTTTGATCTTGAAAATAAGTTTGATTTATGATTGCTAATTGAAGTTGATCTTCTACAAGAAAAAAATTATTTATTAAGAGAAAAAAACGAATAGAAATTTCTTTACTTGTTGCCCAATATGGAATTTTCTTTTTACGACGACGTAGTGTAATCAATTGAGTATTATTAAGTTCATCATCATGTAAAATAGTCATATCATAATTATTAAATAGTTTAGATGTTGAATGTGATTTATCACTTGAATTAATCTTTTGTACAATATTTGATCTAATAGGTAAACAATTGAATTTGTAAGAATACAAACCTATCATGAAACTTACTTTCTTTTACGTTGACATCGACACATTGACAAATGTTGAATAATACTTGAATGTTTTTTCGCAAAATAATGGCGAATAGTATTACGAAAATGAATTGAGAATGGCATTGTAATCGTTCGAAAATAGAAGAATTCATATTTATACGTATTCGTAATTTATGTCTAATCAAAGAATATCTCTATGAAGTTAAATAAATTGATTGATTTAATTGATTGTCTTTGATATATTCAACATCAAAGATATGAAGTAGATCATGAATATAGTATTAACTATTATTTTCGAAGTTCTTGTAATCTTCAAATAACTATATAGATGAATACAAAATATGTAAATGAATGACATCTACTTAAAATTCGTTGAATAAAAATATAGCGACAATATTTGTATTCAATGAAATGTTGAAAAGAATGGTTATCATTAAAGATTGATTTATCTTTTTTTGTCAGAAAAGTTTAGTATTTGAGATAATATGAATGGTTTAATTGGAGTTGCGTATCTTCCTCATGGAACGATGACTTTAGATCCAAATCGAGATGATCTACCAAATGGTGCTCAATCTCTTCATGAATCATGTATGAAAATAAGTGAAAAAATAGCAGAATTAAATCCTGATGTAATTATTCTTTTAACTCCACATGGTATTAATCTTCATCAAGCTTTTAATGTCTATCAACCGAATATTTCAAATAGTAAAGCAAGTGGAAATGCTGAATGGAATAATCAATGGACTGATTATAGTGTTGATATTAATTTAGATGGTGATATATCTCAAGATTTATATTTATATTTAAAACAAAGATTACCAAGAGTCGAAGGAATGTTAGCATTTGGTGGTTTAAGTGTACCATTAAGATGGGGTGAAGTTGTACCATTATATTTTGCTTTACATCAATTAGCTTTACAAAAACAATCAAATACTATTCCATTAAAACATATTTCGATTCAATCACAACCTAAAATTGTTATTATTGCACAACCAGCTAAAGGCACAACAAGTATGAGAAGTTTAATAATATTAATTTATTTTAGTTTTTGTAATTGTATTTAGATGAAGAAAAAGAATCTTATCGAATAGAACAACGTTCTATTTTAGTAGAATTTGGTCGTTTACTTCGATCATGGTGCAATCAATCTTCGTATCGTATTCTTTTAGTTATAAGTGGTGATCAAGCACATACACATGAATGGTCAGCTCAATTACCATTAATTTATCAACCTGATCCAACATGTTTTTCAATATTTCCACAAAGTGGTACTGAATCTGCTAAATTATTCGATGAATTTATACAAGATTGGATAACTGGAAAACGTTCACAGTCAGAAAATAAATTGTATTGTTTAGATGACAAGATTTTGATTAATCAAGCAGGAAATATAGAAAAATTTGCTCTTAGTTGTGGTTATACTGGATCATTGACTATGCAAGGTGTAATGGAAAATGAATTAATTCAAAATCAAGTAGATCATGCATCGGAACCAATTCATCCATCTGCTAATTGGTTATTGACAAATTTTATATCATGTCATCCAACATATTATGGAATGATGGCTGCTCTTTATATTCGAAATGTTGTAAAATAGATTTTTCTCTAAGACAAATTGGTATTTTACCATTATTTCAAATAATATATTAGACGATAATTTTGAATAAATACATAATGGCGAGAGAGGTCTATCAATAGTAAACAAAATATATCATTATGTTGAATGAAGATTCGTCTGCCAATTTCATTTATCTATTTATATTTCTCAATTCATCAACATCAATTCTCTACAAAATCATGAATAACTAGGCTCATGAAATGTTTTAGAAATACTAGGAAAAAGGATGAAAAATGAATACACACAAATATCTGTAAAATATAACGGGCGTGACATCCTTTGAAAATTGTAGAGCTTTTCACGATGCATATTTTGGTATTTAATACAACGAAGTAAATGGTGGAAAAGATATTCTTTTCGGGACATTCTCTAATTATTTAAACAAACTAGTAAATGGAACTGTCCGAATCAATTTCATTATCAATTGGGTTAAGTCATGACTGCAAATATTCGTTACATTCTTCATAAGATATACCGTTTGTTTATTTGTGATTTTGATTTAAATAGCTAGTGATTACTTGCATTATATTTATTGAATATGACTGACTCTTTTTTATCGATCGTAATCCTCTTTTCTGTTTATTTCAACTTTTTTCTCTATAATGGTATAATTTATTGTTTACATCAATCTGACGTCAACATCGTTGATTGCAAGTACTTTACAGAACGGAAATTTTTTTATAGGATCATATTCTCCTAATATGACTTTTACAGGTGTGATTTCGAAGTAACCTTCTTATATGAATGGCCTTCAATTGTGGATGAGAGTTTAATGTAGTAATCATCAATATACTAATTACTGTATCATTTTATTTCTTTTCTATACGAATATATCTTATAAATGTTCTGTTGATGGAACGTATGAAGTATAGAAGCGTATATTGTGAGTTATTGATGATAAAGCGAAAAGAACACTAAAGTGCATTGAATGTTTTTTGCTCTTTCTAATATTTTCGCGTGTGTGTATCAACCAGTATTGTTGTGAATTGTTCACCATTATAGAATAAAAACTGAATGTTAAAAAAAACGAATTTGTATTTCGTGAATATTTTATAATTATATATGAATTGTAATATTAATTTGATTGTCGTTGTTTGAATCCTATTATAATTTGTACCAAGACGATGTATAAAATTGTAGGGATTCTTACATGATCTACGAAATATTCTTCTTATTTTCGTTTCATTTCAAGTTGTTTTTCTATTCAAATACACCAATAGTATTATATTTTATTGGAGTAAGTCATGAGATACCAATTGAGATGCGTATATTCGCATATGACGAATTACATCAACAAAAATTATAACCTTCAGGGATAATATAGTTTTCTTGTTTTTGTCAAAACATAAACTCGTGATTTTAAGGGTGTCGTATAGTTAGGGCAAATAATTTAACTCCTACTCTAAACAAAAATCAGTATCCTATCATCGTAAAGATTAGCATCCTTGAAAAAAAATGCACCTTTATAATAGCTGGCCTTGTTCTGTCAATACATATTCTTATTCAGGACATTGTTATTAGCAGTTAGCACTTAAATATTATTGTGTTGTTGATTACCTTCATTTATTTGTTTATGGTCTACCACATCTATATATTCTCACACTCATTTATTTTTCAATTCATTAAGTTGTATACCTTTGTCGTCAAGCTATGCAGTTAAGTTTTTTATCCTACAGTCTAAGTTTTCTCGTACTACTACTTATCGTTGTGGAATGTGAAAATGAACAAACATTTGAAGACATAAGAGAAAAGGAATCTCATAAATTTAGCCATAATGTTCTTGATGATGGTCGTATTATTTCGAAACCGGTAAGTTATTGAATTGTTATTATTATATAATTATCTAATATTTTTTTCTCAAGGTTATTCATCCAGTACCTGTTGATCAAATGCAATTACCTGATTTACAATTAGATGGTAATACTAAAGATAATAAAAAATATGTTGCTCATGGTGATATACTCATTCCAATTGAAGAACTTGAACAAACCAATTCAAAACGGTAGACATTCTTTTGTTTTTTTATAGACAAGCATATTCATTTTTCCTATTTAATCTTTATATTTTTTTGTACTAATTTGTTTTCTTTCAATAAATAGATCCAAACGAAAAATAGTTGCTGAAACAAATCGTTATGGTACTAGTAATCGATGGCCACGTGCAGTAGTGCCTTATGAATTTATTTCAGGCATCGGTAAGATGTATTTCCCTTACAAAAAAACTAACTGATCGAATTATTTTCAAAATAGACTATCGAGTACAACAAAATGTATTAACTGCTATGCAGCATTGGCATCAACGTACATGCATTCGTTTTGAACCTTATGATTCACAACGTCATTGGGATATAAATGCAAAAATTACTGTTGAAGATACGGGATCTGGGTTTGATTATTATTTTAAATATAAAAATTTAAATGTATATATTTTCTTCTTCTTCTAGTTGTGCAACATTTGTTGGTTATAGACCATCTTCAAGTGGTTATCTTTCATCTTATTCTGTTTATTTACCAATGCAATGTCCACTTGGTTCAGCTATTCATGAATTAGGACATGTTATTGGTTTCTATCATGAAATGGCACGTACAGATCGTGATTTGGAAATTCGGCTTTATTTTAGTTTAATGTCAAGTAGTGAAGCAACTCAATATGATATAATGCCTAATCCAATGCCTGGTTATTATGGCCAACCTTATGATCTTGGTTCTATAATGCATTACTATCCTACAGTAAATAATAAATTTCTTTTTCTTTTTGATTATTATTTAAAAATAAAATAATCAATTTTTAGGATGTTATGGAAGCTCGTGATAATCGACGTCAATTTCTTATGGGTCAACGTACAGGTCTATCATTTCTTGATAGTAAATTAGCAAATTTAGGATACCATTGTGCTGATGCATGTGATCCACAACCAGAATGTGTAAATGAAGGTTATATTAATCAACATTGCAAATGTTCATGTCCAGAAGGTTTTTATGGTACAAAATGTAATTTACTTCAAGGATATTTAGGTAAAATCATAATTTTCTTTATTTATATATAAGAATGAATGATTAAAATATTTTTTATCTCTTTGTAGACACAGATCGAGTATTACCATCGAAACCCGCAACAACAACACCTGTACCATCAGAACCTGAACCATCAGAACCTGAACCATCGGAACCGGAGGTAGTAGAAACAACATCTACAACAACTACAACAGCAGCAACTCCAGGTAAATTTAAATTTGTTTTTTTTATTCCATTTTTATAAAATCATACATTTTTAATTATTGGTGTTCTTCGATGGCTTGAATGGAATGAATGGTCTAATTGTAGTGAATCATGTGGTAGTGGTGTCCGTGTTCGCACTCGTCTATGTTCTGATACAAATATTCATAGTAGTGCTAACCCATGTGCATCAATCGGTGGTGATTCATTTGAAATTGAAGCATGCCAAAATCCTGAATGCAATCGTATGAATACAAAAAATATTTTTATATTTAATTTGAATTTATACT